CAACACCAAGTCAAGGGTTAAGATCCCCTTACCGGTCATCTTTTTTTAAAAAAAAAAAAGCTCTCTTGTTCAGCCAGATGTTTTTTCTGTGAAGCATCGCCATCTTCTTGCAAAGCTCAAGGCTGGAAAAGGGAGTGAACAGCTATAGAATGGCCTGAAATAATCCCAGCCACAGCCTCTGACCTGCTCCCCTGCCCCAACTGCTCTTCTGGGAAGGGGAGAAATAGAAACGTAAAGGGGACCCCCACCTCAACTGGCCTCAGTCCAGAAGGTGCTAGGAAATTATGCCTTTCCTTTGTGTGTGGTTAAGCATCAACATTTCAGATAAACGTAGGTTTGTCCCAGCTCATCCACTTCAATTGCATTTATTTGATGAGCAGTTTTTGAGTGCCTGCTGTATGCAGGCACTGTTCTGGGCACTGGGGGTATAACTGAACAAAACAAGCAAATCCCTGCCCCCATGGAGTTTCTGTTCTCATGGGATGAAATAGATAAAAAGCAGGGATGGCCGGGTAGCTCAGTTGATTAGAGCGCAGTGTTATAACACCAAGGTTAAGGGTTAGGATCCCCTTAAAGGCCAGTAGTTAAAAGAAAAAAAAAAAAGATAAAACACAAATACTTATGTAAGATGTCAGGAGATAAGAAAAAGAAAGCAGGGAAAGAGGGAGTGGTGGGGTTAGTTTAAAAATCACTTTTTTTTAATTAAATTTTTTNCAACACCAAGTCAAGGGTTAAGATCCCCTTACCGGTCATCTTTTTTTTTTAAAAAAAAAAGCTCTCTTGTTCAGCCAGATGTTTTTTCTGTGAAGCATCGCCATCTCCTTGCAAAGCTCAAGGCTGGAAAAGGGAGTGAACAGCTATAGAATGGCCTGAAATAATCCCAGCAATCAGTGATGGGGGAGTCCCCTGGGGTTAGGGCACAGAGACAGAGACGCAGCTGGGAGACACAGAGAGACAATACAGCGACACTGACATCAAGAGAGAGAAACCGAATGACTCAGAGACCTGGAATAGAAACAGAGGTACAGAGATGGAGAGATCATGGAAAGAGCAAGGAGACTTGAGGACAGCGA